ATAAAAGCTTACATGTGGCTGGGGTAAAAAGGACCAACTGAACATTTACATTGGCAAAGGTGTAAACAAAAAGAAAGTAGTAAACAATGAAGTACATAAAGTTCAAAAGAGCAATTTCACACGATAGTAAATTATTTAATAGATATTCCAACTTTCCCGATAAATATTCCAGACGAAATACCTAAATTTAATCATGTTCGTTGTATGATAACCATTAATTTGTTAGTTTAATTTTGCGTGCGCAAATTTCCGGAGCAAGCAACACATGTCTGATATCTGATTTAAATATTTCTTTCTATGTTATTTATAAACATGCTGACTTCTCTATCTTTACTGAGTTTTATCACAATGTCTCTCAAATACTAATTGTAAGCGTTTCTTGTATTGATAACATTTTCGTTAAGTAAATTTTGTTCGAATTCATGTTCTTCGTGTAAATATACATAAACATCACAAAATATCATATCATGTCAAGTGTGTTTGTCGATGGCAGAACAAAAGCCACGTCGATCACCCAAAAACACTCGACTGAACGCTTCGAACTTGGCAGTGCTTGCGGTAGAATACTGTAAGGCTTGTGCCTTACATCACTTATCTACATCCTTTCTATCCTTGCTGCGTGTTCCACAAACAATCCCTCAAAAACCAGAAGAAATGTATGATATGGAACGCGTTTATCGAAAATACTCAGTCACTTTCTCCCAACTCGAAACTACCGAAATCTACTTTTTGCCGCTCAGACTAAATGGCGCGCCTCTCTGAACTTGTAAAGAAAGCGCTTGTGGAAATTAGGTTGAATAGGTAGGATATTTTAAAATATACTATGAACTGAGAAGTTTATTTTGAAAATGCGTTCACAATTCAGGACTATCTTTAACATTTTAGTAATCATTTTGGTTGCATTGTGACAGTCACAACATTTTTATATGGGAATATGTTTAAAGTTGTCTTTCTATAATCTACAAAAATAAATGAAACAAATTTTTTAAACAAGCAAAAAATCACATTTCTATAATAATGAATTAGCTGGGTGGTTTAATGAACTTACTCATATAGTTATGTTGGATATGTGTTATTTGTTGTGATATAATTGGTTTGGTTTTCACAATATAATTTTTGATTTGATTGTGCACAAACCTATATTATCAAATAATTAAAATTAAATATATTTTTACATTTCATATGTGCATTAGAGATGTTTCAATTTCTTTCAAATCAAACTTTTTTTTATATTAATCTGAATATAAATAAATATAACAAACACGATCGAGAGATAAAAGATTATCTATTCTTGAATACAAAAATTATCAGGAAGACCTACAAAGAAAATGTATAAAACAATCATTTTCGACTCTATGGAAAGTTTAAAGTTAAAATTAAAAGTTAAGTTACAAATAAAATAATTGATATTTGATTTGACTTTCGCTATGACTTTACCGCTACGCGAATGTTTTCCGCAGAAGGTTTCTGAACATTTTGGCATACCTCAGAAAAAATGGATGTGTGTGTGTGTTTTGTGTGTCCGCATTTTTTCGTTCACGTTTTCGGGCGCAGGGATCAACCGATTTGAATGGTTCAAAAAACTTTCGATTCCTATTGATAGGGAGATGTGCTGATTAGTTTTTGGCAAAAGCAGGTCCAGCAGTTACGGAGATAAAGAGCAAAGAGTGCAGAAAATAGAAATAGAATTTTTGAGAGAACGGAGTATCCGATATGAAAGATCTAAAAAACATTCAATTAGTAATGATTGGGAGAAGTGGTTATTAGTTTTTGGCAATGGCAGGCCCAGCCATTTTGAAGATTCAGAGTTAAATGTGCAAAAAATGGCAGTTTTTGAGAGAACTAAGCGTCCAATTTAAATGATTCAAAGAACTTTCAGCTTGTTTCAACAAAATAATTTATTTTGGAAAAAAAAATTGTTTCAAAATATTTTCTTATTCATTTTTTTTTCTTTTTTCAAAAAAAAATTTTTTTGTATATCGAAAATAAATCAGATTTTATTTTTAATTCTGACTAAAATTCTAATATACTTTAAACAAATAATTTCAACTTTGGAATTCAGTTTACATAATTCTTATAAACATTAGACATGTTACAATATTTATAATAATCTATTTGAAAATATTTAGAATTCCTCGAACATTTTGTTACGGTACGGGAAGTTCCAGCAATTTGCCTCGAGGCACGATGCCATACACCTTACTAGTTTAAATTTGGATTACAATATGTAGTATATGTATATATATTCAGAAATTATTTTGGTAAGTTAATGATGCCGATTAGAAGGCAATTTAGAAGATGTCTTTCCTATTATATTTCTAATCTACTTAATTAGTATTGTTTACTCCATTCTTATTATTGTAGTAATGTCTCGGAAAGCAAGTTTATTTTGGTGTCATGTTTTAGATCTTCATTCTCTTAATCATGTAAATCTATTGAATGTAAGATTGTTTTGTTACTAATTACTGATACCGGTTCCTTACTATTCAATGAGATAGTCTTATGGCGATCAAAATAACTTAGTGAATTTCATGAAAAATATAGAAAGCATGTTCAAAAATAGAAAAGAATGTCGTTCAGCTTCTTTTATCTGAATGTAAAGTGTCTACCGGCTCTGTGTCTAATAAGTAGCGGGCCCGCTGTCATAACTGTATTTGTTTTTTGTTTCGCATGTTTCTTTATGAGCGCCGTTATGTATGTATTGTTTTACGGTTCAGTAAATACGTCGCTACATTTATGACAATAAGAATGAGAAATCGTCCAAAGTTGCTCGTCGTCAATATGTGTCGAGCTTCCCCTGCTTGCCATGCCAAATCGTATCCGATGTGGTTTATTACAACCAACAGCATTAGAAAACGAGATACACGCATATAAATTATTATACATTCTTCCCTTAACTTATATTATTGTAGGTATCTATCTTATTCCAAATTTTTCTGGAATTGGTTAGTATAATGTTAATTATTATATGATAGATCAATCATTTTGATCTTGATATAAAATTATTAGTTAGACATTCTGTACTAGTGGAATTTTTTATAAATGTATTTTTAGAAATATATTTTATAAAGCAGGTTAGATCAAGGCACAAAGGTCAAATTTAACTTATATCGTGAAAACGAAACGATAAATAACAAATATCACACAAATAACTATATAACTAGATTCAGTATACCTCCCAGCTAATTCATCATTGTATAGATATGATTTTCTAGTTGTTTTTCAAAAATTTGTCGCCTGACCTTTTTTGCTTCATTTGCGAAATAAAATGAGGCAACCAGGGGGCAAACAGATTCAATGTCTTAGTATTAATTTTGAAGGAATTTTATAAAATAATAGCTACATTATATATAACCTTGATCTAGTATTACGTCAGGAATAATATCATCAGAGTTGGAATACCTATTTATTTAACTAATTTTATAGTAGGATAAATTGTAGTAATCACAAAAAAACTAAATTAAAATTTTAATAAATCTTTACTATTCAAAGGCTTTTTAATATTTTGGCATACCTTAGAAAAAAATGGATGTATGTGTGTGTGTGTTTGGATACAATTTTTTGTCGAGCACCGATTAACCGATTTGAATTATTCAAATACCATTCTATTCCTATCGCAAGGAAAATATGCTGATTATTTTTGGCAAAGAACAGGTTAATCTGTTTCGGAGATACGGAGCAAAGGCTGTAGAAAATAGAAATTAAGTTTTTGAGAAAGCAGAGAATCCGATTTGAATGAACCAAACACATGCAATTTGTAATGATGGGGAGACGTGATGATTAGTTTTTGGCTAAGATAAGTGGAGAACAGCTCCAAAGATATTAGGCTAAAAGTGCTTGTGTTGACAGTGTGAAGAAAGGACTAGTTTTTGAGGAATGCAAAAAAAATTTGATTTTGAAATTTCATTTTTAATTTTCAATTGCAGTCTTTAATTTCGAAAATATATATTTTTTTTAATATCCAAAATGGTATGGATTTTAATTTGAATTCTACCTAAAATTCACTTATATTAAGTATAAGAAATCGTTTTAACTTTGAAATTCAGGTTATATATTATTATAAATATGAGACAAGGTTTTTCATTTTAATTCCAATTGAATAAGTTTATTTACTTTTCATGTAAGCATATATAATAGTCGTCCTCGGATTCATAGGCTACAAGAGCTTTTGTCCGTAAAATACGAGTAATGAAAGTTATAGTATTTATAATAATCTATTTGACAATATTTAAAATTGCGCGAATATTTACTAAAAATACGGTACGGAAAATTTTCGATGTCATCCACAACTTGTTTATTTTTTATGTTTTTTTTTACCTCGGTCATGTGTAAGCTTTTATAAAGATTATATAATAAAATCTGTTGAAACTAACTTAAAAATAGCAATACATCTAATAAAACAATTCAAAAATATAAGGTCTTGTAAACTAAAGAACAGTGCTCACAACAAAAAACTAACAACAAAAGAAAATACTTCTGTTAAATATAATAGCAACGTCGTAAAAAATAAGTTGCTGGCTGATTATACATCTTTTTTCCTCCACTTACAAATATAGTTGAGAAAAATTTCTTATTTTATTTGTTTTTAAGATATCGGTGGTGGACTTTTTTACCCGCGGACTATTATTCCCGCTTTGTCTTATATTCCACTCTTAACATCCTTGCAAACAAACACATTTGTTCATAGATACCTTAGAATTAGAAATGTAAACTCTTATAAGGATATTTCCGGAATGTTGAATCCAACGCAATGAACTACTAACTACTCTATCTATAAACTTTAAAATAAATATAAATTCACAGCAATCTCAAAATAGGTCACTTTATTCATATACAAATGAAGAAATACAGATATGTTATTTGAATGTTTTGGTGTAAGGTAATTTTGTACAATAGAAAAAAAATGAAATGAAAATAGATACAGACACTAAAATGTTTGCATTTAAGAACTTTACGATTAATTTAAAAGGTAGTATTTCATTGCAAAACTTATCTTAAAGTTATAATTCATTTTTAAGTGACACATAATCAGATTTATCTATTTTTGGTGCCTCATCAGATGGTCCTTTGCCATATAAGCCGCTAGATTCAAGAAACTGAACAAATCCATTTAATGTTCGCTTCCCATTAAAATCAATTACCTTATTTTTTCCTTTGCTGCACAATTTGGGAGTTGGGAATGAAGTTGTTTTAGTATGTTTCATTTTATTTACAGTGGCATCCATTTTAGCAGTTACAACACTTTTAGAATCCTTATATTTTTTACTCAATTCATTATAAATAGGAGCAAGTTGTTTACAATGACGACACCATGGAGCATAGAATGGTACAAGAATATCTTTTCCCGAATTGAATGCTAATTCATCAAAATTTGAGCTGTCTAAAACTTTAACTGGACTCTTATAACAGTCTTCTGGAAGATCTTGTGATGTTAAATGTTGTTTCAATTTACCTTCAATAAAGCTTTCTACGAATTCTTTAATATTTTCTGTTGAATGATATGGTGCAGCTGGTTTGTACTCTGCCATATCTAGCTCAAGTATTCGCATAGCAGGTACGTCCTCTTTCTTCATGCCAAAATATTTCAAAATTCTTTGGTGATCTTCTATATCGACGTTGATTGTTACAAATAGTACTTGATCACGGAATTCTTTTGCAACCTTACGTGCTCTCTCAATAAAGCTGTTAAAATATGTACCTTTCTTTGACAGGAACAATAATAAATGGTTTTTATTGTCTTCACCTAAGATCTTTTGTGCAGTCTCGTGGTTGAATTCTATCAAAAGTGGCAATGATTGTGATTGAACGAATTTCTTAAGAGCCTCTTCTGAAGTTGCTTCACCTTCAAAAACAACTTCTTTTTTGTCAAATTTCTTAAAAAGATTGTCTGAATCGCATTTGGTTTCATAATTCTTATAAACTTCCTCATTGCTTGTGACACCAAATGGATAATTTTCAACAGAGTTAGCGGTTGACGAGAAAGCTTTGGCTTCAGCTGACTTACGATCCTTGAACAAATCAATGACAACAACTTGACTTTCTTCAACAAATGCTTTTGCCTCTTCAACAGATTCTAGTTCTTTAGCTGATGATCCAGTCTTCTTTTTCAACCAAGTAATCATGTCATCAGCTTGGCGTCGCCCTGTATAATCAATGTCACTTCCACTAGAGAAATTTTTTAAAGCTGAGTGTTTGCTAACACCATATTTCCCAGCCAAATCACCTTCTTCAGCGGCATCAACTTTGCCAACTTTGGTTTCCAATTTTTCATGTTCTAACAGTGTGGCCACTTTTGTGTATTCTAAAGCTAGTGCGTTGCAATGTACACACCATGGAGCATAATATTCAACAAATGCGAGAAAGTTGTTTTTACAAGTTCTGTCATTTTCATTATAATTTATGTGTAAGGTAAGGGCTACAACAATGAATATCGCTAATAAATGCATTTCATTTTACATTCCTCTTGAATCTCCTTCTAAATGTAAAAATAAATATATTATAAAATAAAGTGTGATTTGACTAGTATTTAAATAATAAAACTTTGTTTTGTCAGTTCGAGATCTGATTTAATTATTTTTGTTTTTTCAAACAAAATCTCAATAGTCAAAAAAAGATAAAGTAATTTAAAATAATCCATATCAAAAAAGTCAATATTGACAAAAAATGAAAATGGTTTTAAAAAAACTAAAATTTATGATATTTCCTATAAACTTATTTTTCAAAATAATTGATTTTTATTTTTAACTGTCAAATAAAATATTTATTTTATATTCATTTATATCGTGTAAAGTGAAGGTAATTTTTATTAAGATACCATGTTTTACTACAAACATTTATTTTTATGTTTTTATGTTTTATGTTTAGTAATTACCTAAAATGCTATTTCGATAGAAGAAAACCTATGATATTACATTTTTATACCTTATTCCATTTAATTTTAGCTTATTTCAATAGTTTACTAAAAGATTATTTTCTATTAATCTAGCTAGATGCTGCAAGCGATTCATTTATATTGTAATTATAAGTACATAGTGCAATACTGTGTACTAATATATTATTCTCCGAATTATTTTTTATATTATAAGATTTTTAATTTATTGGATTTTACTATGGGATTTTAAAATAATACTTCGGATCACTACTTACAGCATGAAATCTTTCTTTTATTTTTAATACACTAAAAAAGGACGTGGTTCCAAGTTTACCAATTTTTAATATATAGAAATTTGTCACATTTGTCAAATCTTTTTTATTAAATATTTTGGTTATTCAGATGTTTTCGATATTTTTTCATACTTTCTATGGTTTGTAACATTGCAACTACTGTTCGCAACTTATATTTTATATATGCATATGCATATATATAGGAACCCTAGTAGAAACGAATCGTGGCGCAATATTGTACTTTTTATGGGCTCTATATTGTTTACCAATATTGCTATAATATTATTCTGTTAACATTTTCCCATATAAATCCAATATTAAAACCAATATAGGCCCCATATAAAACCAATATTGATAAACAATATTAAAATCTCATTCAAAAGTAATATAAGCCCAATATTGAAAACCAATATAAGATTAATATAAATAAACAATATTTACCCTACATAAAAAACCAATATAATCTCAATATAAATAAACAATATTTACCCCAAATTCAAAATTATTATTTAACCCACATTTAAAAATATTATTTAGTTTATATAGAAAAACAGTATTTAACTCATTGATAATAAAAGTTTATTTATTCTAAATGAATACATACATTTTTAAATAGTTTATGTATTGAATCTTAATAATTTTATTAACAATTTACACATTATGATAATAAGATATAGAACAATCAAAATATTTTCAGTCATTATAATAATTTGGAGGATCTTAATGGTAAATCATAATCTCATCTTTGTTAATCCTATCGCCTTAATTGTCTATTTATAAGTATTTTAATTAGTGGTGGAAATTCTTATATTATTTGGATATTTTCACACATATTTTACCATTTTCTTGCATTCGATCACGATTACACCTGAAATAAGATAAAATTTATTAATATTTTATAGCAATATTTCTGGAATATATTGATTTTATAAACTCATCATAAATTCAATTACTTAGCTTTTAATAAAAAAACATTTCTGGCATTGTAGTTTATTGAAAACTACTATTTTCTAGAACTCGATCACAGTTAAATCTGAAATATTTAAAAATACAGTTAATATAAAATTTTAACATTAATTTAAAACAGTACAATTATAATTTTAAATTAAAACAAAAAACTGTTGATGGAAATACGAATATCAAATATTCAAAAGCGATAATAAATTATTGAAAAGTCTGCATTTAATAAGTTTGTTAATATTTTTATTACCTTTTATCAAATCCATTTTTGCTATGTGATAGTTTTTATATTACAGCTGATTTTACATCCATTTCAATTTAGTCAATCTAGAATATATAAAACACATCATTGTTTACTAAATATGTATGTTGTTTATATAATATAAGTAATGAATATACTTACGTACCTTAAACATAAAACTCAAAATTATGTTAATTAACCGCTTGATTTTATTTATAAACTGTTCACAAAATATATTTTTAGCCAATTATCATTTGATATTATAGATCATTTTATTTTTCACTAAATATTCACATTTTTTCAGACTTACTATATATTATGAATATATTTTAATATTATAATAAATTCTAAATTCAACAAGAATTGCTAAATGCACTGCGTAACGAATTTCATACTATTGAAAAATGCGAGGCTCCGTGCTCCGTGCGTTCGATGGTGATGCAGACTTAAAGCATTGTTAATCAAAGGGCGGTTCTAACATATTTGTTAAGGCGCGAAGCTTAAATTTTACTTCGACGTCTAACAGGGTGTTGTCGATTTACTTATTCTAACCACTACACTTTAAAATTGTTCTATAATGGAACTGCTGGTGTGATCGGTGATTAAATAAAATAAAATGCGACGTTTGATATTAATAGATTTATTATAAAAAATATGGTGAATATAATCGCAACAGATAGTTGGTGTTTCTATACTGCGCTCTAAACTTATACTGACTAAAAATTATTAAAAATTTAACTTAACAATATTAGCCCCGCCCGTAAGAGGCGGGTTGCATTAATTTATACATCTAAGGGGGATGATTTCTTAGACTTAATAGATGATTCCTTGAAATTATCTCCAGGAATTTTGCAGACTAATAAATAAAGGTATCGGACGCCAATATAGACAGTCCAGACATATAAATTAAGCTCAAAAATTAAAATATCTTATATCCCTAATGCATTTTGCACTTGATGTGTGAAAAGAAATGCAGACGACCGCCTGCAAACCCTGGCGACTGTCCATTGTATCGGAATACGATACGACACGACACACTTACAAAAAATAATTCAGACCACCACCATTGGGACTCCTTAACATGGCGGCGACCTTGAAATAATCTTAATATTATTTCGAAATATTGAAATTTACATCAAAATCTTAATCGAGTTAGTCTAATACATCATATAACTAAGTTAACAAGATAATTAATAATTCATATAAACAATCGAAATTGAGGATTATTTCAATGTAACTAAACTCAAAACGTTTTAGTTTTTGTTTTATATCTCATGTCACTAAGTTCCACACTAAATCAAAGTCGTTGCTTCAAATTTAAAAACTGTGTTCGACTAGCGAAAGGAACTAGTAAAGAAAAATATCATTATTAAATAATTACACTATTTCACGTTGTTATTTATGATATACATTGTTAGAATTGAATGTATTCAATTTATTATCACTGCACGAATGTCATACACAGTCACAACACGAATTTTCCCATCCTCACCTGGATGTACTTGGACGATGCTGCATACAAGCTAATTTAGCGAAGGAAAATTATCCTCGCAAAGTAGAAGCATAGATCCCACCTTTACTGATTAATCTGCACAGCCCGTGCATTTTCTCCGATCCTGCAGCTCCAATTCGCTGTAGATGCTGGTAGCGCCTATTCTCCGGAACGTCAAGTACGTTTAGGTCGGGATTGGTTATGATGGGTTTGTCAAATAGGAAGTGACCAGAGGACAAATGATTAAAATCAATAGGATCGGACCAAAATGAGGAGTTTGACATAATTTCAGTCTGTGACAAATATGTAAAAAATTCCTTAAATATATAAAATGTGTTTTCTAAAAATCGAATGGAATTCTTCAAATGCGGCATGTATTTTATATCCAAAATAGCACCAAAATCATGTGATCTGATCAGAACGAAATGCCAATTAATTCCACAATGTATAATTAAGTAAAATTTCATAAACTTATTGAAATTGCTTTTGCATAAAATATTGCATAGTATTTTAACTTCTGACGACGCTCCAATAAAATTTCTGCCGTTGTCTGAATTAATGCTAGTAGGTTTCTCTGACGCATAATAAGTTATCTGAGCATAGCCAAAACCTTCTAACATAAACTTTGATACAATTTTTAACTGAATAGCTCGCGTACTAAAATAAACAGATAGGGATATGTATGCTCTAATTTTTCTAAAGTCTTTAGTACGACTTTTACTCAAAATAATCGGACTTCGGAAACCCACCCCGCGACTCGCGAACGGCAACTGCAAAGTCATGCGGTTTTTCATTAACGGAAAGAAGAAAGGATTGATAACGAAGCATGTGAAACAGTTTCGTGTCACCCCTTTACATAAATTTGTATCGCCAATGCGCAAAATGCCATTTTCGGATATAAATGGGTTGAGCGTTTTTAATTCTGATTTAGGTTTTATTGGTCTATGCTTTAGGTTGTTAGACCTTTCAAAACTACTATCAGAAACTGAATTCATTGCAAAATTGCAAATAGTTTCATCAGACAAGTGATGCGATTGGATTGTGCTCGAAATTATCCAACCCAATGCAGTGTTTTGCAGAATCGTGTTAGTTTTGCTCAATTTTATAAAACCCTTTCGCAATAAACTCCAAAATAAACCCGCTCCCAATAACATATCTATCCTACCGCTGATATTATAATTTGGATCAGCTAGTTTTATACCGGGAGGAATTTTAAAATGGTTTGATGGAAACGAAATCGCGGGTATATTACTTGCGATTGAATCTAAAGTTAAAAACGATATATCGCATGAATATGAGCTTATATTTGATTTTATCTTAACTTCGATTTTGCTATTAATTTTTGATAAAGACTGACTTATACCTGAAACGGACATATTTAACGGCTCCGTTTTTAAAGCAAGTTTCTTTGCAAATTCCTGTGTTATAAAATTTGACTGTGAACCGTTGTCCAACAAGATTCTAGCAGGAACCCATGCGCGGTTTTTATTTAATACCGAAATGACCGCTGTTGAAAGTAAAACCTGTGATAAATTTACATTACTAACAAATGATGTGCTAGGTATAGATTCAATCAACTGATTTTTTGC